CTAGTGGACCTCTTCGCGTTCCTTTTCAATGCACAGCTGGATCGCTTCCTTTCACACCTTTCGATGGTCGGAGCGGAACAAACGGACGCTCTTCGGAGCCCTTGGCTTACGGTCTCCTTTACGCCTCCCTCCTCTACCTATTCTTCCAGCCGTGGTCCGCAAGCTTCTTCGGGAGCGAGCGGAACTCCTCCTGTTGGCTATTTATTGGCCCAGGAGACCTTGGTTCGCCGACCTGGTGAATCTTTTCCTGGAGGAACTTTGGCGGATTTCACCAGAACAGATATCTCTCAGTCAAGGGACCGTTCGACGTCAGGACCCACAATGGCTCCAATTAGCCGCCTGGCGCTTGAGCGTTCAATCTTAGCTAGAGACCTCTGCTCACCGGGGGTCATCACAGTCATCCAGGCATCGTGCCGTTCATCCACGAACCGCATCTATGAGACCGTGTGAAAACATTCCCAATTTTGGTGTTCCGGACATTTGTCGCTCACGGAACTGACTATTCCAATTGTCTTGGACTACTGGTTAGATGGTTGAATAAGGGATTAGTTCCTCTCACGCGGCACAGACAGGTTGCAACTTTGTACACAGTCCTCAGTTGTGACTGCAGAATCACTAGGTCATCACCAATTGATACGGTCGTTCCTTAAGGGGGCCGCCATCAACAAAACCCCGGTGGTGCACAGGTACCCATCGTGGGAACTGCCACGCGTGCTTCGTGCCTTCAACAAATTTCCTTTGAGCCACTCGGAACGGGTGACGTTCATGTACTGTCCAACAAGGTGGCATTCCTAATGGCAATTAGTCTGCACGTCGCATTTCGGAATTGGCGACATTGTCAATACGGGATGTTTCGTGTGTTTTCAACAGGTTAGGGTAATTCTCCACCTGTCTTCGTCCCGAAAGTCAATTCCCTGTTCCATAGATCACAGGGGATAGTGTTGCCTTATTTCTGTTCCAGCCTGTCGCATGCGTTGGGGCAGCATTTGCATAGTCTGGATGTCCGCAGGGTTTTCGGTACTATATTTCACGGACCGCTGAGTTTCAAAAGTCAGAAGCCCTTTTTTCATTTCTTCACACTCCTCTAACAGGGGTCGGAAATTTCCTCTTCCACTGTGGGAAGTTGGATACGGGCATGCATCGCCAGGATTACCAGACTGAGTCACTCCCGGTTCCACACGGGATTGCAGCCCATTCTACTCGAAGTGCGGCTACCTCTGCGGCATGGGCCACTCAGGCTTCCATCTCGGAGGTCTATAGAGGAGCCGCCTGGGCTTCTCCTTCTCTTTTCATTCGGCACTATAAAATTGCTAAGTTCGCCTCTGCTAAGGCTTTGTTTGGACGGTGAGTTCTCCAACAGGTTTTTACTCCAAAGTGCCACTCAGGACCAGTCTACTACCCACCCTCAGGGACAGTAGGCTTTGGTATGTCCCAATGGTGGAGTCTCCATCTCAGTGCTGGAGAAGGGGCGTTGTCTTNTGTTAGTTTGGTGAGCCACAACGTCTTGCTGTCAGTCAATGGCTACGCTCGCGTCAAAGACTGGAGTCTAGGGTCCAGGACGGGCGTGGCAACTTTGGCTGACTTGATCTGATTGGGCAGGAATACAGTCTACTACCCAATGGTGGAGTCTCCATCTCCGTGCTGAGAAAAGGCGTTCAGGTAAGACAACGCCCCTTTTCCACCACCATAGCTGTTGCCGAGGAGTTGGTCCATATATCTTGAGAAGTTCTCTGTTTGGGAGAGACTGTTCTTAACAGAAGAATCCCTGCTTCAATGTCCCAACAGCATGGAGCCACCAGATTTGGTTTGATTACTTGATTACTACACTGGATTAGCAGTAACCAGACTTTGCATAATAGGAGCTTGAGGGAGTTGCTGCCACAGGATGGTGTTATTTGTAGCCTTGTGGGTTTTTTGCTGTTGTTGTTGTAATTGTTGTTTATTTCTGCTAGTGGAGCAAAGAACTTCATCCATCTCAGATTTCAGAGCCCAAGCAGAGTGCTTCGCTCAGGTGGTTCTGCCACATTTTTTTCCTGCAGACGGTAGCCTTTATGGCCTTTTTTCTCCAAGTGAATTGGAAACTTTGGGAAGTACAAAAACTCTTTTTGTTGTTGTTAGTTGCGAAGTCGTGTCCGACCCATGGCGACCCCATGGACCACGTTCTTCTGGAGTCCATTTAAGCTCACGCCTGCTGCTTCAGTGACTCCCTCCAGCCAGTACAAAATCATCTTGCCAAGGAAAAGAACAAGTGAATGCAAATATCTCCTCTAGCTGATATTATTAAAACAGCCCTTTTAATTTCTAGGACTGGATCAAGGCTCTAGGTAGTTTTTTTAAAAGCCTACCTCAGTGGTGGCGAACCTATGGCACGGGTGCCAGAGGTGGTACTCAGAGCCCTCTCTGTGGGCACGCGCACCGTCGCCCCAGTCCTAGGCCTTCAGCTGGGTTTTATAAAACCTTTTCGCTTTAGGCCTCTGCTGCTGTGTGCAAAAAAAAAAAAAAAGGTTCAATCAATCAATTTCAACTTCTTGCGGTGGAAAAAAAAGATCTTGCAAAGTTGGAATTGATTGATTGAACTTTTTAGTCCCACCCAGTCTGCCGTTACCACCGCAGCCACGCCCACCCAATGGGTCACGCCCACCCAATGGGGCACCCCCACCCGGTACCCGACGATGCATAAGTGGGTTTTGGGTTGCAGTTTTGGCACTCGGTCTCTAAAAGGTTTGCCATCACTGGCCTACCTAATAGCTTGAGTTTTCTATGTCTCTTTAAAATGCCCAGCACGCTAATATGACCTTCCCTACCTATTAATTTTTACGGAAGTGGTCCTCGTTAAAAATGGAGATGATAAAGAACCAAGCTCTTCCTTCTGTGGCACTCTTGTATGTTTTCACCGCTAGAGGTGAAGGACAAGAGTGGCTACCAATACAAGGTGGGAAGACC